GGAAAACTATGTTGGAAAAAGAAAGTGAAGTGATTAAAGAGCTGGTAGGGTGGAGATTTATCAGTTTATTCATTTATGCAGCCGGTATTTCCTGGGTGCTGACAGTACTATGGCCCCGGACAAGGTGACGGAATACAAACACTCGGAGTACATTTGTCTCCTGAGGAGAAGGGAGAGGTGACACAAATATGGGCAATGACTGAAAGCCAGTGCAAAGTGACTGTCTTGGCCCCGGCAGTGCTCAGGCACACGGCCGTCACAGAGCACGTGCAGACACAGGGGGCTGAACTCGGACAGGAAAGGGCAGGTGCAGAGTACGGCAGGTGAGAGGAAAAAGCAAGCAGAAGCCAGCACACAATGGGGCCTCGGTGCCAGCCTAACCAATGCCGATGACAAGGCCAGCTTGACGCTAGGACACACCACTCTCACAGCACCAGGTCTCGATAAGTCCAGGGCATCTGGCAAGGAGACCCTTGCACCAGACAGCCCCTCCTCCAGCTGACTACCGAGAAGAATGACCTGAAGGGCTGAAGTGCCAGGGCACTCGCCTTATACGCAGCTGACCCGCTCTAGCTCCCACAGGCTCCCGAAGCCCCGTCAGAAGTGCTCTCTGGCCCGAGGACAAAGTCAACGAGAAAAGGAAAAATGACCTGCAATTTTTTATCATTACTAGTTTTGGAGCTACACCCTGAAGAACTCAGAGCTCACTCCCGACTCTGAACTGGGAGAAGCATATGGGGTGCCAGGGCGTGGGTGGGGTTTCAAACCCAGGTACACTGCAGCATGCAGGGCTAGTGCTGTAATCCCTGCACCAACTCTCCCACCCAGGACTTGAAATTGAAATGTATGGCTGTTCCCTAGCATGCTCACAATCACACTCACACACGTACACACACACTCATGTGCACACACGGACATTCATGCATGCACTCATCTGCACTCTCAAGCGCGCGCACGCGCGCACACACACATTTGCACTTCACACACACACACTTGCACTTCGCGCACACACATGCTCACTTATGCACACACATTCACTCACACACATACACAGAAAAGCTCATGCACGCACACACACAAGCTCACTTGTGCACACATTCACACACATTCATACTCACTCATGCACCTTCAGTCACACTCGTACACAAGCTCACTCATGCACACATGCAAGTCCACTCATGTACACATTCACACACATTCACATACACATACCCATGTTCACTCATGCACAATGACTCACACACCCAAGCTCACTCGTGCACACATACACTCACACTCATACACCCATGCTTACTTGTGCACACATTCACGTACACGCATACACATATCCATGTTCACTTATGCACAATGATTCACACCCAAGCTCACTAGTGCATACATACCCGCATACACTCATACACACTCACACCCATGTTCACTTGTGCACACATTCATGCACATTCACATACACTCATACACATACCTATGCTCACTCATGCACAATGAATCACACACAAGCTCACTCGTGCACAGATACACACTCACACTCATACACGCTCACTTGTGCACACATTCACGCTCACACACACAAAATAACTGGTGCACACACACACTTGCTCATGCAAATATTCACACACTCATACACAAGCTCAATTACACACACATACACTCATACATACACTCATGCTCACCCGTGCACACATTCACACACATGCACGCTACTCGTGCAAACACACTCAAACACAAGCTCATTAGTGTGCATAATGCCTCACACATACTCATACACAAGCTTACTGGTGTGCACACACACCCCCTTACACACACTCGGCAAACACACTCAAACACAAGCTCACTGGTGTACACACCCCCTCACACTCACTCAGCAAACACTCATACACAAGCTTACTGGTGTGCACACACACCACCTCACACACACTCACTCGGCAAACACACTCACACACAAGCTTACTGGTGTGCACACACACCACCTCACACACACTCACTCACTGGGCAAACACACTCATACACAAGCTTACTGGTGTGCACACACACCCTCTCACAAACACTCATTCGGCAAACACACTCATACACAAGCTCACGGGTGTGCACACACACCCCCCTCACACGCTCACTCGGGCAAACACTCCCACTCCCACACAAGCTCACCGGACACTCACCCGTGCGAACACTCGCTCACAAACGCACCGAGGCACGGGCTCGCTCGTCCGGACACTCGCACGGCCTCACTCCCACCCACGACCCGTCCCGCCGACGACGCGCACGGGCGGACAGCGGCTGAGGCGCGGGCAGCGCGGGGCCCAGGGAGGGTCGCGCGGGGCCGGGCGGGGGGCGCCGGGCCGGCCGGTACTCACAGAGCTCGGAGTAGCGGTGGCAGCCGCGGCCCAGCTGCTGCAGGTACCGCTGCAGCACGTCGGTGAGGAGGTGGCAGGCGCTGAGCTGCACCGAGTCCCAGCCCAGCGCCTGGCAGATCTGCGCCACCGAGACCCTCAGCAGCGACCGCGAGTAGCTCTCGCACATCCCGCTCCGACGGCGCCCCCGCCGCCGCGCCGGGCCTACGCGCCGGGTCCGCCGCTCGCCTCAGCACAGCCGCCGCCGCATCCTCAGGGCCCCCGCGGGGAGACGCGCCCTCGGCGCCGCGGCCCCCGGCGACCCCTCAGAGCCGCGGCAGCGCCGAGCGCGCCCGCCTGAGAGCCGCCATTTTGGGCTCGCTCCGCCTCCCGCCGGCCTGAGGCAGCGCCAGCCGAGCGCCGAGTGCGACTCCGCCTCCCGCGGGCCTGAGGCAGCGCCAGCCGAGCGCCGAGCGCGCGAGCACGACTCGGCCTCCCGCGGGACTCCGCGCGCGCTCCCGAGCCCCGCCTCCCGCCCCCGAGCCCCGCCCCCCGCGGGACGCCGCGCGCGCTCCCGGGCCCCGCCTCCTCCGGTCTCAGTCGGCCTGAGGCAGCATAGGCCCGAGCCAGCGCTCCGCCCCGGGCGACGCGGCGGGGCTGGACTCGCGCGCCCGCGGAAGACCGGAAGCAGCGCTCCGGCTGTCTTGACGCGGCGAGCGCGAGCTCGGCTCCTCGCGACGGGGCCGGTGAGGCGGCCGCTTTGGGCGGACTGGAAGGCAAAACCCTCCTCCGCGCTCGTTCCTCACCCCGCAGGAAGTCCGAGGAAGTTTCCTTAGGAAACAGGCCTGCAGTGCGCCGCGGCGCTCTTCTGAGGCAGCCAAGGCGGGAAAAGCCCGGACGGGCCTGGGACACGGTCCTTGCAGGGCGAGCCCTGAGCGCGCCACACCGCAGGCTGTGGCCCCCTGAACGAAAAGCCCCGAGACCCCCCCCCCCCCCCCGAGAGCGAGGGCAGAGGGGAGAGCGCCGCCCCGAACGTGTCCGGGAACAGTGACTTGGGAGCTTACGACCACTCTATGTTCCTCCCGTGAGGACCACTCCAGAACTCAGCATCATGGATGTACAAGATTTTTGAAGTTAAAAAAAAAAAATGGAAAGAGACTGTGGTGCTGTCATCAAAGCCGGTGGCCGCTGTCCCAGGGTGGGGGTTCCATGTGGCCAGTAGGCTGGCTGGTCCAGGAAGAGAGTGGATGAGCACTTGGGCGGGAGGCCACTGACCTGCAGCAAGTGTGCTTCCCGGAGGCTGCTCCTTGTTCATATCTATGTGTATGTTCACACACACACTTGCACCCCCAGCTCTGCTCTCAGTGGACTCAGCCCAGACCACACCCTGCCTTACCTTAACCTCCTGTAAAGACCCTTTAGGGACAGTAACATTCTGCATGACCAAGGGCTGAGGGGCTGTAGGGGGAAGAGGTACAGAGCAAGGTGGCTTTGCTTGGGGGGGTCACTCCCAGCAGTGGAGGGACTCAACTTATTTGCTTAAAGGAGACAGATTTCCAGGGATCCCAGCGATGTGTCCTCTGACTGGGGTGGAAGGCAGTGAAGACATTGAGACAAGAACACAAAACACTAACAGTGCTTGCTTAGCATGAGGCCATGGGTTCAAACCACTACATCACATATGGTTACCAGAGCCCACCAGGAGCAATTCCCAAGTGTTCAGCTAGGATGAAACTCTGAGCACCAATGGGGGTGACCCCAAACCAGAAAAAGCACCCGACATCCAGTTGCTGCTTCTGGTTAGGCCCAGGGAGCCCCCCAGGAAGTAGAGAAAAGTACCGTGCACCCGAGGTGCCCAGACACTATATGGTACGGGGATCCAATGGGGGGTTGGCTGCATGCAAGGCATGGACTCGGCCAGGTACAAGCAGGAGGGCCACTGTTCCCTATGCCTGTGGGTCCCGCTGCCTCTTGCCCCTGCAGTGCTCATCTCTCCCTAGCAGCCACCGCAGAAGTGCATCAAACTGCTCCCTGAACCACCGGTCACCCATCTCTCTGAGGGCAGTAAATACAGTGCTTTAAGAATTAGAAATACATTCTTCTATTGGCCTTTAAAATGCCAGAGCAGAGCTGGAACGCACATATGCACCCCCGAGACCCACATTCTGTCTTCCCAGCTGTCGCACCAAGAGGGACCCCTAGAACCAGCTGAAGTTAAAATGGAGAGTTCAAGAATGACAGCGATTTAAGTGAGAGTTGAAGACATCTCACATATTGCAGGATTCTGACGGCAATGAACGTTTGTGCCAGAAACACAAAATCCCTGTTGCAATGAACAGGGAGCCTGGCACTGTCAGCCAGTGGCTGGTGGCCCTGCCAAGCACGCAGTCTGGGAGATGTGACTGTGGGGCACAGGACAGTGGAAATGCCACTTCCCAAAAGCCCTCGGTGTCTGGAGTGCTAAGCTGATGGTCCACAGAGCAGGGGTGGCCAGCGGTCCGATGAGGCAACCAGAGAGTGGGAAGCCACCATTCCCTCCAGCAGAACCCTCCCAAGAGGCTGAGTGGGACTTGCTCCAAGAGTCTCTTCATAAACAGCTCATCAAAAAATTTTTGGAGTAGCACATTAGCATTTCTGAATCTTAATAGTATCTCAAATGAAAAGCAGACCATGTTCTTAAAAAGCACAGTGATTTTCTTATTGGAAGTCGTTTATTGTAAGATAATTTACAAAGATCTGCTGTCCTTATAACTCAACAGCCCAAACATTTCTTTTGAAGAGGACAGCAATATGTTCAATCCATAATCAGTGTGCTGAATTTTCTTCCTTTACCTGAAAAACAAAGGACTCAAGTGAAAATCAAGCTATTTGGGGGAATAATGATGTCAAATAATAAAGCTTAGTGCGATGGAGCCTGGGGAACTAATTGAGCAGAGTAATAGGTGACTGCACTAGTGGCTGCCAAATGTGATCTGAGACCCCTTTGTGGGGTCCAAATGGGCAAGAAAGACTGCCTGCGCCATCGTGTCCACCTGCATCTGTGGGCACATGTAGTGATGCTTCCCAGGAGCTCAGAGAGAAGGGAAGGATAGAGGAGTGAAAATCCAGCTGTCTTCAGGCATGAACTCAGAACCTCTATCTTCAACAATCCTTATTTAACCTTGAACTGTTGCCGATGTTCTCATATATTATTTAATACATTAAGAAAAAAATATCCCACACCCCCTGGCACCACCCAGACAGTACTGCTCAGGACCCACTCCGTGTTTGCAAATTGCTTCCAATCTAGCTAGGTTTCTTTTCTGAAGGGGCTTGGGAGAGAGTGAGTGAAATGTCAGACTTTACCTCTTGTCTGAGGATGCAGCTTGGTTTTCATTAATCCCTGGTTATTGTATTAGAGAAAAAAGACAAACACAGAACAAGTGGTTAAGAAGCCATCATGCTAGTTAAGTTTGTATCTTCCGATTCACTAGTCCATTTCTTGTTACCTTGAGTGCAGCAGTATGAATATGTTTCAAAACATTCTGTTACAACAGGTTTATGACTATTATAAGTTACTCAGTTCACACTGGTTAGAGGCTTTGATAAAACCATGTGCAATAAACCCATGTTCATGCAAGTTGCAAGTAGACAACACCAAAAACATATTTTAAAACTTTTTTTGTAAATAGCACACTGCATCATTTCAAACATTTTTTGACTGACAATACTTAACATCACAAACACTGGTTTATTTATGCTTTTGAAATTCAAGGTTTTTAGAACCAGAGTTACACCCAGCAGTACTTGGGGACCCCATGACCACTGACCATTTCCATGGCCCTATCTTTTTTTTTCCTTTTAATGAAATATCCAAAGGAATCTGCTCAAAATCTTAAATATTACTAAACGCACTCAATCTTTAACCAACGAGCACGAGTCAGTCACAGAAAATCCCCAGCTTGGGGGTTACACAGGATCCAGATTTCCCTTCTAGAGCATGAAAATTCCTATTCAATTCCAGTTTCATAATTCTGTCTCCCTCTCATTTCTCTGGCTCTTGCTCATTCTGAGTCCAATTTCCCACGATCCTAATCCAGCGTGAGCATGGGCCTCATTTCTGCAGGAATGTCCCTGCTTCACCCAAGCCCTAGGTATCTTCCCCAGAACCTCCCCCAGAGCCTGTTTCCCCAGACCGTCTCATTGTAGCAGCAGGAAGAAAGTTTGAGGACCAACAATCTAGTCTCTTGATCCCCGACCAGACTTGACACAGATGACAGGCATGTCGAAGCCAAAGTTCAGCAGCGCACTCAGGTGGCACAGGCACTGGTCACTGCTCTGTGCTCTGTGACCCACTGAAGGGTCTCCAGAGGCTAGACACTGGTCTCACATTCTGAGAGGTATGTAAGGACCAGCTTCATTTCTCCGGAGTGAGACCTCTTGCCAAGTCTCAAGCATGCACCCACTTACCACACACCTAATGGTGTGCCTCCTTTTCTGAGCTTCCCTTCGCCTTTTTGTTTTGGGGATATACCTGGCTGTGCTACGGGGTTACTTCTGACTTGAGCTCAGGGGACCATAAGGGGTGTCGGGGACTGAACCTGGGGTGACAGCGTGCACGGCCAAGCACTGCCATACTATCATTCTCACCTGAGCCTCAATTTCTTAAGGCAAAGCACCATGACTCAATGAATGGAGCATGTGTGTCAGTGAAGGCTTTAGCCTATGTCACTGCCTGCCATTGCAGTCTGTACCTGTTTCATCAGGGGCTTCAGTGAAGGACTCACATTCTCTTTAACCTGGTTTCACAGACACTACTGTTTCTAGGGAACCCTGAGACTTTCTGGAGAAAAGCAACGTATTAGAATATGCAAAGTAACTCCAGCACCAAATCAATTTATAGATTTCTGTTCAGACCAAAACCAGGCCTGTAAGATTTGCCAAATGATGCCAAGATATCTGTTTTCTGAACTCTTCAGAAGCATGAAAGCCAGCAATACACCAATTTCTAGAAAGAGGAAAGGAAGCCTGCCTTAGTGTCAGCTGCAAGAATGAAAATGAACGACAGCGGCCTCTCTCTCCATCTGCAAATCCTAAGGGTGTTACTGAAGCAGCTTGTGTCCGGGACAACAGGCACAACCCACCCCCAGGACTCACAGAGCAGCAGCGCCCGAGATGATCTCGATCAGCTCCTTGGTGATGACGGCCTGGCGGGTGCGGTTGAAGGTCAGAGTGAGCTTGTCGATCATCTCCGCTACAGACAAAAGCAAATTTAGCCACCACACTCGAAACATTTGACACTCATGCCACGCCTCCTGCAGGGAATGGTCTTCTTATGCTGCTGGAGACCATGCCCCGGGTCTCCCACACACAGGGAAGGCAAGCATTCTGTGATACAGACATGAGACTCCACAAAGAACAATGTGACTACTGAGGAAACACTTCGCCCCGTTCCTTCAGGCCCCTCTCCCACCCCTGCCTGTGCTGAGGAGGCTGATCCTCAGTGCCTGGTCCTGTGCCCAACCCCCCACCCAACCCCTGTGTATTCGTACAAGCATTCTTGCTAGCGTTGTCCATGGCCGTCATCCTGGCACTCTGCTCGCTCGTGGTCGACTCCTTCAGGGAGTAGTAGATGATGTTGGCCAGATTATATTCCTGGTAGTTCTGCAGCACATCAGCATCAATGTCGTCATAGATACTCATGTTCTCTGTTGAAATAAAGAAACGTGAGGAAATATAGTACAGAGATAGAATCAACCAAACTGGCACATGCGTGTCAGAATCCTGGAGTCACACGAACACAAGGGAAGGGAACCCACAGGAACACACAATAGGTTTCTGCTATGTGCCCAGCAAAATATGATGCTGGGACGAAATGTGAGGTGAACTTTCATAAAGCAAAGACGCCATTGAAAGAACAGCATGCCATAACCTGAAAAGCCCTCCAGTGTGCACCAAGCAAGAGACAGAGACTGAAGAAATTAAGGGAAAAATGAATAACAAATGCAGTGAACACCAAAGTGCCTGCCTCCTGGCTGGAGATTTCCTCCAACATGCATGCTCCTTAACTCAGAAAGCTTTGCATTTACACACAGCTGGTTTTCAGAAACCCACTTGAAAAATTTGGGTAGCACTTCAAAGATGTTTGTTTCCAGATCCAAGTTTGAAACAGCTCACTGGGGGAGCTGAAGAGAGAGCACAGCAGGAGAGCCCTTGCCTTGTATGTGGCTGACCCAGGCTCGGTACCCAAGTCCTCAAGGAGTGACCCCTGATCAGAGCCAGGACTGATCCCTGATCATGCCACCACATGTGGCCCCAAAACAACAAAATGGTTCGTTTTTTAAAAAGAATTAAAGACTAATGAAGATTTTAGTAACTATGGTGCAATTTAGCAATGCTTCAATACATTCGCGAGTGGTCAAACAGGTGAACATGATGCCGAATTCCATCAAAGCAAGAGACACCACGGGTCAAACCCATGTTTAAAGGACCACAAGGAAAGTCAGAGACAATATCACATGCCTCAGCCTCAAGAAGCTTCCCAGAAGCTTCTCAAGAAAGGAAATGCACATGTCAGAATTGGCTGACAGATGAAGAGAACAGGCTTTAGGTGAACAGGGTCCAGTCCCGATTCCAACAGTGAAACCCGAGAACTGTGGGGTCTGTCTGAAGCTGGGAAAGGGGTGCCCTCTCTCCTTAGCTGCTACTGGCGCAAGAGCTTGCATGCCTGGCTTGGAGCTCACAGCTGTGGCGTTCACCATCTGGGGACAAACCAGAAGCTGCATGCAGAGTGGACAGAACGCTGGCCCAGTGGAACAGGGTCCTGACAAACACTATTTCCCTGAATGTGCAAGTCTCTCCTTTCTACATGGAAAAATACTTGTTCCACGAAAATACTTACCAGCATTTGCAATGGTATCAAACGAAAAGATAGGCTTTTCTTCTGTTTTGTATGAAATGACAGATCTAGAAAAAACATACACGCAAATTTAAAAGTATGTTTTTACCACTTCAGATATTTACACATCTTCATATATAAACGAATACAAAGGTTTGCTTTCTAGATGGTTCTTGCCTGAATCGATTAAAGATGATAGACCCTTCATCAAATTCATATCCAGAATTCAGTAATTCAAGGGCGATGACCGATGCATCTCCGAAGGTTGGGGGCTTTCTCCCCACTTCCTTGAAGGTCACTAGAAACTGGTCAGAGTGAGTCCTGTAAGGTGGAGAAGCCACAGTTGAACAGGAGATTCAGCGAAAGCACATGGGCAGCAAAGACAGTGCTGCCACCGGGGATGACACTAGGGAGAGGAGCTGTTCATGGAATTGGGTCTTTCCCACATTTATTGGGACTACTCCAGCAGCACTTGCTAAGGACCAAGAAACCAGCCCTTCTTATTTTCTGCTTCTCTTTGCTTTTACTTCTCTCCTTCCAATCCTGATTATCAGCTGTTCAATTCAAAGGTGGCTTTGACTCCTTAATTTTAAAAATGGAACAGCTGATTTCACTTCACTGGTTAGGAAAAAGAAGCAAAAGCAAGGGAGGAAACGGGGGAAATCTATAGGCTATAGATTTCTATAGAGCCTATAAATCCTAATAAATCTATAAAGCCTAATAGTCTAGAAAAGTAATAGCAACCCCTAGAGTAGAAAATAGGTAAGCTGACACCCTGCTCAAAGAAACCTGCATTCACTTGTGTTTGCAACACCCGCAGGGAAAGAAGCCACCAAATATCTGAATTACCTGTGAAGTATCCCTCTGATTTTGTCACCGATGCCAACGATCATAACTTCTTTCCCAGCTGCCGTCAGGTTGGCCACCTCATTCTTCATTTGCTTAGCCACCGAAGAGTGAATAGCCCCGCACAGTCCTCGGTCCGAGGACACACCAATGAGAAGGTGCTTCTTCTTGTTCTCAGGGGCTTTGATGTCAGCTTTTTCATAGAGAGCTTAAAAATAAAAAAATTTAAAAATTTTAAAAAAAGCAAGGTTTTTTCAGGGAGCTCATGTAAACACAGCGATGGGCCCTGGCTGACTGACATGAGCGCTTCGGGCAGGTGTGATTAGGCCCTGATGGATGGTGTCTCTCTACTTCTCAATTTACAGTCAGGCTGACAGCCAGAAAGAGGTCAATCTCCTGTGACAAAGGCTCCTAAGGTCAATTTATCTGAACGAAAGATAAGCTGATCTAAATAAAAAAAAAAACATAAAAAGACACACATAACAGAGGTAAGTATGTATCAAATGATCAGACTGCTAAGAATTTAAGCCTTAGTTAAACAACCAAGAAAAGCAGGAAGCAAACACATGTTGGCATTAAGACCTGTCTACCAAGCTCTCAGAAGAGCGCTGGCAATCAAGTAGCTGGCAATCAAGGGTGCCACTTTGTTTGGACTACTACACTAGCAACTTCACTTCATGGTTCTGTTCTGTCAAGCAGCAAAGCCCCCACGGGGATGACTGACAGGAATCCAAGGACTAGCTGGGAGCTGCCCTGAGATTCGGGTGAAGGCAGGCGGGGGCTGGCAGCTCCTGGAACACAGCACTGCCCAGGGCCAGTCCAGGATGTAGGTGCCAATGCCCCCAAACTGCACCAGCCTTAGTGAGCCGAGCTCGTTGCTGTAGCACAGAAAGCCGCCTGCCCCAGGGAGGACACTCTGACCCTAGCCGCCTCACTCTGACTAACACCTGCTATTGTTGAATACAGCGGAGAGTCCAACTAGCAATGTCTGAGGACCCCTAGGAGAAGTGAAGAACTCCAAACTTCAAGGAGTTATTTTGGCTTTTTTTAATGCTTTATAGTGTGCAGATTAACATGCCTATTTTAAATCTTCAAACGATTAGCCACTTAATATCCAGCAGTCAGGGATTTTTGTTTAAAGCACTTAGAAGCCACTGACTTAATAAAGAGACCTTTTTGTGGTCCTGGGGATAGACCCCCACAGACCCCCACATTAGACCGGCTCTCCACAGGGCCAGAGCCCCCAGCCCTCTCCTGAATTTTCAGTATCTTGCTACAAATACTCAAATTAGCTATCTTAATCAGTTTATTCTTAACAAAGAACAATAATTTTGTGACTATAAACTTTCAGAGGTATTCAGATTCTTTTTTGGGGTCACACCCAGTGATGCTCAGGGTTCACTCCTGGCTCTGCACTCAGGAATTACTCCTGGTGTTGCTTGGGGGACCATATGGGATGCCGGGGATCAAACCTGGGTCAGCTACGTACAAAGGAAATGCCCCACCCCCTGTACTATTGCTCTGGTCCCGGAATCAGATTATAGAACCAATTATTTGCATTACTGTATTCGTATTATGTATTATATGTAAATTATAACCAAACACGTGACACTTTTTTTCCAAGAAGGTTAAAAAACTGACTCTCCCTTTCTCACATAAACAGACTAAAGAGTAACAGGGTGTGGAAGAAAGAGTGTGGTCCTTGGTCAGTGGTCACAGGAAGCACCTGAATCACTGGGCCATCTCCTAGCCGTAGGTGCTCTTCCCTGCGGACAGAACGGGGAAGGACGGACGCTGAGGGCACACACCAACGCTCTTACCCAAAGACCCTGTCCCGTACACACGCGCTGGCTTCAGCTCCCTCTCAGCTCGGGCGTATTTGGCAGCTGCCACCATTTTCATGGACTTGGTGATTTTCTGAATGTTTTTGATGGACTTCAGTCTCCTGGTAACTGGAAAATGGAAGTGCATTAAGATCAAGGAATCATACTATGCCTGAACTCATTTGTAGAGTCACACAATTCTTTTTCTGAAACCGCAGGGTAGAATATTAGTACCTGGCCCACCAATAACAGCACAGGGTTTCAGGTCCGAACTGAGCTACTATAAGTGTAGGTGAGACCTAAAATGAGGGTAATGGAAGTCAGACAGGACACCAGTCACTTCCACTGCAGAATTTTAAATGATCTTTTTTTTTTGATTTGCTTGTTTGGGGCCCAAAACCTGTCAGTGGTCAGGGCTAAAGGGACCACATGGAGTGCTAGAGACCAAACCTGGTGAGCCATGGGCAAGGAAAAAGCCCTTCCTGCTTTACTCTACCTCCAGCCCCCCTAATTTAGTTCTTAATTCATATATTGAAATGAAATACTTACTATCTTTCAAAGTTGCCATATTTCGAACTTGGATCCTGAAAATAAACATGTTTGAAATATTACTACTCACTAGTTTCTGGAAAGCAGCCCTACATTGAAACAAAGCTTCCAGAGTTAACGAGCCTGTTGCAAGGCGCCAGCCACCTCATCAGCACATGGGGCATGCACCAGCTCCAGTCCCACCCACACCTCCCCACACCATTCCCAGGCCAGACAGGCCTGGGGCAGCCTCCTCGGAAAAGCTCGTTTCCCTCGTGCAACAAAGCCCTGTAGGTCACATCTGCCATCTCTCACACATGTCCCATTAGCACACAAGCTGAAAATATGAACAAACCAATTCTAACTTTTCCGCTAGTATTTCTTCTCTTTAAAAACTGAGATAACATGTTAGTAATACCATGTGATGTTTTAGGGGTACCATTCATACCTCTTCTAAGTGTTTGTTGCCACCCTCACCATCAATGAAGTCCCGGCGCCCCTCCACGAGCCTGCCCTCTAACATTTAGCTTCTTAAACAGGGGCATGACCACATGTGGGTAGTGTGACTTTTTGTTTTTTTAAAAAGACTGTTTTAAAGTAAGTTTTTATGATTCACTAACAATGGTAAATGTTTGGCTTGTAAATCCATTTCTATTCCTGTGTACCCAGGGTTCATAAACATTTCTCTGGGGAAGGGGGTTGTGAGTGGAAAAAGTTTAGGAAGCCTCGTTCAAATATCAAACTGGATAAAGGCATTATAAGAAGAAAAAGTTAAGAATTCTATATACCAGTTTTGTAAAGTATGCTCATCACTTGAAAAACAATACACTCAATATAAATCAACATGACAGAGCATCACCATTACAGTAACGAGTTAAAGGAAAACCCCACTGAATGGAGCAGACTCAAACTGTCACTGAGGATAAGCCTCTCAGTAAACAAGGCTGAGAGCTGCCCATCCTCAGCCAGGCACCCAACACCAGGGCATTCCCACTGCAGAACTCGCTTTGCTCCTAGGACTGTACCCAGACAGGAGGTCTGTCCTCATTCCGCCCCTCCCACTCCACACAGCACCAAGTCTCGCTGAAACAGGAAGAAAAAGTAACTGAAGGCAAACAGATTGGGAAGGGAGAAATAAAGCTGTTTCAGTCACAGGTGTTATCAAAGTCTACTTACAAAATCCCAAGGGATCAGCAAAAACAAAACCCAAGCCCCCAAAACCCTCCTGAGTAAGGATCCAAGATGAACCAGCAAATGGCAGCACTTCATACCAGCGATGTGCTGGGGTTTCCAACAGGGGTGCTCAGAGGTTCCTCCTGCCGTGGTGCTCAGGGGCGCTGCAGTTCTTGGTTCTAACGTGCTGTGGAGAGCTGGGGAGCTGCTCAAAGGAAACTGAGACCATCCCAGCAACAGAGGGTCCCCACTGCCACACACACTGTCGCCGGGTGCTTACACTTAGAATGGGTTAGATGGCCAATTTTTAAAGTATTTTATCTTAATAAACACAAAATTGATGTGTAAAACTATTAAAATATATGTAAGACATGAGAAAATGACAAAGATCTGCTCAAAGAAACCAATGATCTCGGGGCTAAGTGAGTAGGGAGCTTGCCTTGCATGAGCTTATGTGGGTTTGACCCCAGCACTATACGGTCCGAAGCTTGCCAGGAGCAATCCTTGAGTACAGAGCCAGAAGTGCAATCTGAGCATAGCAGGTGGCCAGAAAACAAACGAAACACCTAAAATAATGCTTCTCTGTATTTACCCAATTGATCTATCTACCAAGATCTTGCAGCCTCACTCACCGCTGCAACAGACCGTGTACAACCAACATGCCTTTCGCTCACGAATGCGTCAGCCAGCTCCAGTGTACGTAGACATACCACAGAGCGCTCAACGTTCCCACCAGAATTCCACGAGACACAGGGAAACTTGGCAGGAAACTGTTAAACTTCCAAAGACAATTTGGAAAGGCAAAATGATTCCAACTATATGACATTCGAGACTACACAAGAAGCAAAAAGCCCAGTGGTTGGAAGATTGAGGGGGCAATGAAAACTACTGTACCAGCAGAGTCACCTGTCAAGACACACAATAGCCTTCAATGGAGAGAAGCCTATACCTAAGTGAACAGCATAAGCACAGTGGCTCCAAAATGCTAACACAACACACACTGCACTAGATCCGTGTGTTAATGAATACTGGCGACTCAGTATTTGGAAGAAACTCTGTAGTGTATGTCCAATATTTCTAGTGTTAGACTTATAAAAACAACAATAATTACTGGGGTCCAAGGATGGTGCAGACCTTGCAGGTGGCTGACCCAGGCTCCATCCCTGGCACCACATATGGAGCCGCCCCGAGTTCCACCAAGACTGACTCATGGGTTCAGTGTGGGGAATAAGCCCTCCACACAGCTGAGTATGGGCCCAAACCAAACCAAACTTAAAAAAAAAAAAAGAAAGAAAACTGTAAAAATGCAAGTTATGCAATGTTACTTTTTTTTCTACGTGCATAAAAGAATCCTAGTGGTTATAACCCAAAGTTACACTTAAAAATCTTTTGACTTGTAAATCCACTAGTATTACTCAGACATAGATAAAATAAAGTACTAGTATTTGTTGTATGAAATGATCAGCTAAGGCCAGGGAGATGGCTCAAAGGCTTAAGCACAGGCTTGGCAAGTATGTGCGTATGTGTGTGTGTGTGGGGGGGGGGCCCCTCGAGCAGGCTGGATTTGATCTCTGGTAGGGCATTTGCCTTGCACGCCCCACCATTCGATTCCTCCGCCCCTCGCAGAAAGCCCAGCAAACTACTGACCCGTGACGTGTTCGATATGCCAAACACAGAAACAAGTCTCACAATGTTACTGGGCCCGCTTGAGCAAATCGATGAACAAACAATGGGAGGGCAGTGACAGTGACAGTGACCAAGCCCCCAGCACCACAAAAGGATGGATGACTAAAGAAGACAAAATCTGTGAATCATTGGCAAGCCCTGCTGTTTCAGAATAGATTTACCTGCCACTTCAACCAGCCATTAACATTTTTCATAATTGTGCTTGGAAAGTAACATCCTGATTTTCTATTAAATCAATGCAATATACAAATTTCCAGATTTTCATGCTGCTTTCATTTTGCAATGTGTGAGCACCCATTCTTCCACCCATGTCCACATCTCTCTCCACCACCTCCCCAGTTTTCCCGTGGCACCCCCAGCCTGCCTCAGTGGCAGACACTTTTCTTTCTGAGTTTTTCCTCTGAGGCACTCTGGTCTACAATCCTGTTACTGACAGGAATCAAGCCTACCACTTTACCTCCTTCCCATTCTTGTCCAGGGTTTTTTTTTTTTAAATGTAGGAACTTTTCCATTCTGAAATAAACTCCTAATGCATAGATGACAAAGTAACCTTTGAAAATCATGGGTTTTCAGGGAGACGCTTGCATTTACCTGACGTAAGTGCACAGCCAGAGCCAATCACACAGACCCTGAGGTTCCCACAGCATCCTCCATGGGAGCTGAGCAGCAGGAAGAATAAGATCTGTCACAGGTAGCTCTCACTGCCCAACTTTCTCCTCTAACCATGTCTATGTTACAGCTTTACTGGAAATTTTTGGTTTGGGAGCTATGACCAGCAGTGCTCACTGAGCACCCATTGCGGTGGTGTGGGGATAGAATCCAGGTGGGTCACATGTAAGGCCAGAGTCTTGCCCCTGCTCTATCTCTCCAACCCCTGTATTTTTAACCTGAGTACAAAATAACATCTTGCCTTTCTGAGGACAGTTTGTGCAACTTACTAAGCTTGCAAAGGAGAGGATAAAGCCAGTCAAAATCAGTTACATGATCTAAAAATCCACATCATGCCTTGCAATGTGAAACTGTATCATATCCAGAAAGAGGAAAATCAAAACTTGTGGATCACTGTATCTATGTATCATTGTTAGGGGGTCTGAAGCAGACAATGCCCCCTCCCCCAATGATCTAAGTCAATGATTGATCTTAAGAAATCAAAGGCAGTTTGAAAGGATTTTAGAGTGGATCACCATACCTAATACAAAAATGCAAAAATTCAGGAATAGCAAACTCTTAGAAAATTGAGGACAGAAAAACGCCAAGAGTCTAACTCTAAAGTAAATAGCAAGTCAAAGCCTGTCCGAAACTAGCGCACACCAACAGCTGTAGCACCCTGCTTCCTGCCCTGCTCCCTTCCCGGGTCCCAATCCAGTCTCCAGAGTAAATCCCATTTTCAGTGGAGGCTAATTTCCAGAGCCCTTTCCCAGTTCCATGGCTGAACTCTGACCCACTGCCCAGGTCTATGACCCAGACAGGAGCCGGCCAGCTACAGCATTGTGGTGGGTCTCTCCCTGGCCCCCTCCAGCCTCCTGAAGTTTACAGCTACTAAGTCAATACCTACTAGCTCAGTTTCAGAAAGCAACCTGCTTATCTCTCTACAGCCCAGCTCTTGACAGACTTTAAAATAAACGCCATGAGGGAAAGTCCAAGGGCAGAGGAGCAGAGAAGACATCAGGCCCGGGCGCGACTGCCAGTGTGACAGCAAAGCTGGCAGGGTTTGCTGGAAATCCACCACCAGGCATCTCAAGAGCAACCCCTTCCCCAACATCCCAGAGACTAAGGTCAGGACCGTGACCTCTATTTGCAGACTGAGGTTGTAGCTTTGGCCCCTGAGACCCAGAGGTGGTGTTTAAAACTGAATTTTCCATTGAAGGACCTTCAAATAAGTCTTACAAGCTTTAGATCTTTTATCCCGAGTATTTTATACAAGCCTTTGTCCTCGTTTGGGAAACCCAAGGCGCATGCGAACTCTCGGGGCTCTGGAAGTCTCCTTGGGTAGCACAGACAGCACCAGAGGGCCCTGCCTGCCGACTTGGCGGCAAGGGTCGCCACTCTGCAAGGAAGGCGCCCCGCAGCAGGCCCCGGCCCACGCGGCTGAAGAACTCACTCGGGGGCTCCCCCCACTCCCCACATTCGGGTAGGAGGGAACTGCCTTCCCACCCTCAGCCCCGTTTAGCCGGCACGGCCCAGCCAGACAGCCTCCCACGGACACCGGGACCCCCGAGACCCCAGCCGAGAGCTGCAAGAGCTCAGCACCCCCGGCCCGTGACCTGCTGGGCGCCGCCGGCTCCCAGCTGTCCGCTCCCGACGCCTTGCAGCGGGGGAGGAAACAAAAATATATTCAGTACGCAATTTACCCGAGGAAATTAAAAAGGAAAAAACAGCATTTTTAATTTCCTCTGGAAAATGAAAAATTGCACTTTTTTTTTTTTACTTCTTCCGGGAAATCGGCGTTTCAGACAGCCGGCAGGAGGGCTGAGCCCGGGCGGACGTCGATGTGTCCCCGTAAGCCCTCCCAGGGGGACCCCGGGGCCAGGCGTGACCTTGCAGGGTCACCGCCACCGAGTTCGGGTTCCAGAGGGCGCGAGCCGCCTGCCCCTCGCGGCTCCAAGGGCAGAGCCAAGGTCCCCGGAGCACCCACCGCCCGGGCCCGGAGCGCGCGTCTGGGCAGGGCTGGGCAGCGTCGGCAGGTCCCGAGAGACGCGGCCCTTGGCACGCTCCAGCCGGGCCCCGCGGGACCCCCCGGCCAGGGCCCCGCCCGCCCGCCAGCCCGCGCGCGCGGCCGCCGCCCCCCGCCGCCCGCCTCCCGCCGCCCCCCGCAGCCTCCCCGCAGCCGCAGCCCGCCCGTACCATTGCGGCTGCACGGCGCAGGCCGAGAGCCCCGCGACGCCGGCCCGGGAGAACATGATGGCGGAGCGGTGCTGCTGAAGGTCGGACACTCGCACCGCGGCGCGCAGGCGCGGCTCCGCCCCCCGCGGTCGCGCGGCCCCGCCCGCCCCGGAAGTCTCGCGAGCCTTCCGGCCCCCTGCAGCCCCGCCTCCTTCCGACCCGCCGCGGCCTCGGTCCCGCCCCCCCACGCCGGCGGACTTCCGCTTCCGGTTAGCAGGCCTCAGGGCTGTCGCCGCGTCTGTCGCGATGGGCAAGTCTGATTTCCTGACCCCAAAGGCCATCGCCAACAGGATCAAATCCAAGGGGCTGCAGAAGCTACGCTGGTACTGCCAGATGTGCCAGAAGCAGTGCCGGGACGAGGTGAGCGGGCCGGGTGCCCGCCGGGAGGAGTGACCGACCCGGGGTAGTAGTGACCAGGCGGGTGCCCGCCGGGAGGAGTGACCGACCCGGGGTAGTAGTGACCAGCCGGGTGCCCGCCGGGAGGAGTGCACGGCCCGGGGGAGTGACCGGCCGGGGTGGCCGCCGGGAGGCCCTGGGTTGTGACTGGCCGGGGTTCCCGCCGGGAAGAGTGACCGGCCTGGGGTAGTGACTGGCTGGGATGCCCGCCGAGAGTTGTGACCGGCCCCGGGGCAGTGACCGGCCGGGGTGCCTGCTTGGGAGGAGTGATTGGCTCTGGGTAGTGACTGGCCCAGGTTCCCACCGGGAGGAGGACCGGCCTGGGATAGTGACCGGGTGCCTGCTGGGAGACGTGACTAGCAGGGGAGGGGGGGGCAGGGACAGGGTCAGTGGGCCCGGTGGCCCGTGGGCTGTCTGGCTGCGTGTCCCGCCGCCATGGGCTCCTCTGTCACCGTGGGACCAGGACACCCCACTGCGCCCTGCTGCCAAGCAGAGCAGGGAGCGGGTCCAGCTCCTGCCAGAAACATGGAGATACCCAGAGCCAGCCGTTGTGACCAGGAGCAGGGAATGGCCACTCATCCGTGAAGCTCCCCCCACTCCCCTGAGTGTAGTATGTAGGCTCGGACCCTCGGGTTATGGAAGGGCCCGGCCAGTAGCGGTTAAAACTGCAGGGGCCATTACTCTCTGCCCGGACACATACACACATAAACCCATACACACATACTGCAGGGGCCTGGTGGGTAGTGCAGGCCCACCCAGCACCCCTCCCCAAACACACACACACACCCACACACACACACACTGGACAGTGAGTTCAGAGTGGATATCTGGGGAGGGCCTCTGTCAGAATCAGTATCTTTCATGTTGCCTCCAAAATGCCCCCTAGTGCCCACCCAGGTCAGGGAGGCTGGAGGCAGCGAAGTCACTGGTCAGAATTCACACTGTGCCCTTTTCAAAGACCAAATTGTAGGGTGATACTTTGACCCACACCCATGTGTCTTGGTGCTGTCAGCTTTATTGCATAGTTTTAGCATCCTTGTTTGGGTACTTTGTTGTTTGGTTTGGGTTTGGGGTGGGGAATCACGCCCAGTAGTCCTCAGGGCTTTCTCCTGGCACTGCACTCAGGGATCACTCTAGGCCAGTCTTAGGAGACCATATGGGGTTCCAGGGATCAACCCCTGGTCAGCCTTGTGCAGGACAAATGTCTTCCCTGCTGTACTGTCACTGCAGCCCATGTCACTGTTTTGTTAGGAGCTGCAACATGTTTTTTTAAATTTTCCATTTCTTTTGTACAAATGAATTCTTCTCACCGCATGGGCTGCTCAGGTGTCCTGAAAGGTGCCCTATCGTGGGCTTACTGTGCTCTCCATTCCGACAGTGACCAGTTTGCAGAAGAAGGCTCTTGGAGGAGCTCGGCTCCTGCTGAGGGGCATTCTTGGGAGAAGGGGCCTGTGGGGCCCCCTGCCCCTGCCTCTGAGTCTGGAAAATTGAGGGGGCAGGACCGAAGCGGTGTTTATTGCCTCTCTGCTCAGCCACCCAGTCGGGGGCTAGAATCTAGTAACATTTTGCACCGTTTCTGATCTTCATCATGAAGGGCAGTTTTCAGTTATGAGAGAGAGTGGTTTCATCTAGGAGACTGACCCCGTGCTCCTTACGGCAGTAGCAGATGGGGAAAAAGCCTGGTGGGATTGGGTGGACAAGGATACGCGCCCCTGGCCTCTCAGGGTGGCAGTGACTGTGAGGGGAGCCGAGGGGACCGGTATGGGCAGCAGGCAGAGGGAGAGGGACCTGTAGTCGGCCTGAGGGCTGTGGCCCCAGAAGGATGGGCTCACTCTGTGCCTGCTTCCGAGGGAAGAGGTGCAGCCAATACTTGTGGGACCAGAGAAAAAACTTTGCTTTAGTTTTATTTTGGTTTGGGGCCACACCAAGTTGTGCTCAGGCCTGCTCAGGGCTTCGTGCTCAGGGGTCCCTCCTGGAGGGGTTCAGGGCATCCCATGAGCTGACCCAGTGACCTCAGCGGCAGGTGCCCCCTGCTGTCCTCTCTGCTTCTCACAATCGTCTGCAAAGGGATATCCTTTAGTATGGGTCACAGGTTCTCGCAGTCTCTAACAGTGGGTTTGCGAGCGAATATGCTTTCCTAAATGGAAGTCCACTCCAGCCACCTTATGTCCCTGAGCCAGCATGACAGTTTGTGTGAAGTCAGTGCTCACTAGGACGAGCCTCCAGTAAAGCCCAGGGATATCTGATGAGTATCTGTTTCCCAAGACCCTGATTCCTGCATTCACCCTCTGGGATTTATCTGCAATTGGCAGAGTTGCAGAATTAATCTCGCAAAGCGGCTTAAAGTGCTTACAGCGAGTGATCATTTAAAAGAGTTGAACAGTTGAAATAACTTCTTAAGGCCATTTTGATCAATAGGGCCATAACCACAGATTTTTTTTTAAGTCAGCTGGACCCCTGTTTATTTTTATTTTTTGAGTTGTTCATAGTAATTTATTACATTCAATTTCCTACACTAATTGCACCACTGTTACACCTCATCACCATTATTTCAAATTTTCCCATCACCACTCAAGCCTGCCCCAAAAGCAGATCCTAAATAATTTATTTTGCATTGCTTGTTATGAATAACCCACTAAAAATGACCCAGGAAAGTTTCCTTAGAAAAAGTATATGAAGATTGTTGTATCTTACCCTAAAGGCATTAAAAGCTTTTGTATAAGAGATTACTAACATGTTGTTACATTAGCACAAATATTAAAAGGTAAAGGTAAAGGCCCTCCCGTTGATCGTCGATTTGCTCGAGCGGGCCCAGTAACATCTCCATTGGAGACTTTGTTGTTACTGTGTCTGGCATATCGAATACTCTCGGTAGCTTGCCGGGCTCTCCGAGAGGGGCGGAGGAATCGAACTCGGGTCGGCCATGTTGGCCGCTTGTAAGGCGAACTCCCTACCCGCTGTGCTATCACTCCAACCCAACACAAATATTATATGCTAATATTTAAAATTGTTTTGATTGACATCTACTTTACACCCCATCAAATGTGGTGTGCTGCTCCTGATACATCAGTGGCTTAGGAATGAAATGTCAGGTGCTCCAGGAATTCTACAATTTTAAATAGCATGATAGAGCTGGACTTAAATTTTTAACTGAATGGTGACTTTGGGGTCTGGTGGCAGCTTTGCAACTTGTGGCTCACCTCTGAGATTGGTTAGTCAGTCTCCGGATCATACCATTCATGAGCTTATAAGGCGCCAGAGGCCACTTGCCTCCCCACAGACTTTGACTGCTACCTTTTCTCTCATAGAATGGCTTCAAGTGTCACTGCATGTCCGAATCGCATCAAAGACAGCTATTGCTGGCTTCAGAAAATCCTCAGCAGTTCATGGATTATTTTTCAGAGTAAGTAATCTGCGTCGATCTCATCAGCTTTATTCAGCCAGACATTTCAGAGATATTTGATCACTGACATGTTGGCACCCTGTTTCTTTCTTATTAACCTGCTTGATAACTTTATTACCTCTGTGTCCAGTTTGGTCTTCTTTTGCTGTGTATCAGAGTATGAAACTGTGACAGAGGTCTCGTGCGAACATTGCTCTTTCCCTCCTTCCGCTTCAGTCTGTCACAGAGCCAGCCCGGTGAAACTGTAGCTTCAGGCCTGCCTGTCACCGACCCCCAGGTCTCCGCTCAGCTGTGACTGGGGCGACCCCTGTACCTTGCTCTCTACCTGAAGCCGCCACTAGCTCAGTGTAGCATCCTCTTCCCCTTGGTGCCTGGCTTCCGCCCCCTGTGCAGGCCCCGTAGCTTCCCTGCTATGTGGGGGACGCCGAGACTGACTCAGCCTCTGTCCTGAGCTTTGTGCTCTTGTTTGGGGCAGTTCTGCCCTGTGTTGCTGAAGGCTCTCCCTGAGCCAGCTTGGGCCTCTCCACTGCCATCCCCGGTGGCCAAGGGCTCCGTGTCCTCTAGACTCCCCCTGGAGTGTTCAGGGCCTTGAGAGTACCCCCTAGCCTCCTCCTGGAGGGCTCAGGGCCTTGGGAGTGCCCCCTAGACTACCCCTGGAGGGCTGCTTTCCACCTGTGGTTTGCAGAGGCAGCTGCAGAGGGCAGGGCTGCGGCCACCTTACTCTAACCCCACGAGGTGTTCCTGCCTTCTGTTCTGGCCGCTGGCGTTTTCTTTCTCATCTCGTTTTCACAAAACTGCAAGAAAGAAAGGAGGCTGTGAGCCTTCCAGAAGCCACCCTGGCCTCCGCATCCAGCCGAGCTGTCTCCATATCCGCTGCCCACCCACTGGAATGTCTGGCCTGAGTGGTACTAGGGAGACACAATGGGCCCCCGGTCAGGGTCTGCCATGTGAAGCCATCCCCTCAGCCTGGCAGACTTCCATTTGAAAACCAGCTTTTCAGAACCTTCCCTTCCCTGGTGGCTAAGACAATGGTCACATATCGGGGGCATCCAGGCAGCCAGGGCTGAGTCCCAGGAGCCATTTCTATGTGGGAGATGGCATTGGTGTCTTTTCTCCTCAACAGGGAGTTCCGAAATGACTTCCTGGAGCTGCTTCGAAGGCGCTTTGGTAAGTGGCGGGCACTCTGCGCTCCCCGGATTCTGCTTGCTCATGGCCCTGCGCCGGCACATGTGGGTCTGTTTCGTCCCCAGGCACCAAGCGTGTCCACAACAACATTGTCTACAACGAGTATATCAGCCACCGCGAGCACATCCACATGAATGCCACACAGTGGGAGACGCTGACCGACTTCACCAAGTGGCTGGGCAGAAAAGGTCAGGACCCCCAGCGCCGGGCTACAGGAGGGGGAAGCTGAGCCTCAGGCATCCTTGGATACTCGCAGTCGAGCACACTGGACAGGCCTGGCTTTACCAGACTCCGCAATAGCAGCAGGGTCACTGTCCCTTCTCATGAAGGCCCTCCCTCCTCCCCCCATACCATTTCACTCAAGGAAGTTTGTCACCCCCCCCCCCCCCCAAAAAGTGATCCCTTGGCCACAGAGCACTCACTGGTACTGAGTACTTCGATGCATGTGAAAGAAATCATCAATGGGTTTCCTTTACTTACATGTCCTGCTTCAGCTTAGGTTGTTTCGAGTCAGAATAATGATTTTTTTCTGTTAAAACACTCCCCTGAGCAAAAGCCTCCCTTTTGCTATAAACATGGAAAAGTCCTGGGCTGCCTGAGAGCTGGGCGGGTTATGGACTGGTGGATACACTTTCCTGTGGAGCGTTGCTACCATGCTCTTTCGTGTAACCACGCATTCTGTGATGTCTGTCTGTCTGTCTGCCAGGGCTCTGCAAGGTGGATGAGACCCCAAAGGGCTGGTACATTCAGTACATAGACCGGGACCCAGAAACCATCCGCAGGCAGCTGGAACTGGAGAAAAAGAAGAAGCAGGACCTTGACGATGAGGAAAAAACGGCCAAATTCATTGAGGAGCAAGTGAGGAGAGGCTTGGAAGGCAAAGAGCAGGTGCGTAGCGTCACCCCTGGGGTCGCGCCCAGCCTGCCTGCCTGCCGCTGTGCTCCTGGTTGAGAGTTCGCTCGGCAGGGCTGCACGCCGGCAACTGTCAGCCATGGGGCTGTCAGGGTGCTGCCACGACTCGGGGACAGCGAGTGATTCGGCCCCGGGTCTAAGCACAGCCTCACCCTCAGGACCACTCATAGTGGCATCAGCTGGCCCTGCTTCCGGGCTGTCTTGCTTGCCTGTTTGCTTTTGAAGTTTTTCAAGTAAGATGGAGTTCTTTCACCTTCCTTCGTGAAACTCCAGGGGGTTACCTGTGGAAAGTCTATCTTTGCTTGCTGGCGAGCACCTATAGGTGCTGGTAGCAGACAGCATTCATGCCCACCAAGAGCCTCCTTAACATTTTCCTACTCACGGGGTGGGAGAGACAATGGGGCTGATAAGATGCAGGCCTTGCCAGTGACTCACCCCACATCTGTCCCTGGTGGGACCCCCAGTGGTCTGGGCACTGCGAAGCTGATCCCCCAGGATGCGGCATTATTGCTCCTTAGAGGAGGGTGGGGGTTTCTAAGTGTCTGGCAGTGAGCAGTGGAGCTCTAAGTTGGTCTTTAACATTGTTGACTTTGTAACCAGCTGAAAATGGGTAAGAGGCCCTAGATAGATACAAAAAATCTACTTCCAGTCTTAGGATACTACCCTGAGGACAATATTTACAACGAAAGTAACTTTGTAGTTAGGAGTGTTGTGGGTCTGTGAACTGCCTTGCAACATCCCTATTTTTGTTTGTTTGTTTAAGGAGGTCCCTGTTTTTACGGAGTTAAGCCGAGAAAATGATGAAGAAAAAGGTAGCCCTCCGTTCCCTGTTTCCTACTGTGAATGCTTTAACCCTGAAGGCCAGTAGAGTGCTCCATGGTAGGGGCAGGACAGCCCTCTATGGGGGGGCACCTTTTCCCCCTGATGAATGAGAAGCAATGACAGTGAATCTTTGGCGTGCTACTGTCACCAAGACCAGGCCCTGACACAACTGGAGCCCTGCCAGGTGGGGTGGGGGCGGAGCAGCCTCTGTCCCCATTGTGTGTCACGGGAAATTCCCGTGCTGGGGTGCCTCTCCCTCTGTGCTCCAGACCCTTTCCCGAGGTCCCAGCAGTGACAGGCCAGATCAGCTCACCCAGTCCCAGGCTCATGGGCTACTCCACAGAGCCCAGGCAGTGGCGGGAGGAGCGGGTGGTCCCAGCCCAGCCTGGCCTCCACTGCAGTCACCACCCAACTCTCCTTACAGTCACCTTCAATTTGAACAAAGGAGCCTGCAGCTCAGCGGCCACCACCTCCAAATCCAGGTGAGCTCCCAGGTGGGTGGGAGGGGGAGACAAGAGGGTCTGTGCCACTTGACTCGGCTCCCTGAAGATGGGTGGCATCTGTTGGCGCCCTGCACTGCCCCACTGTGGACGCTATGGTGGCAGCACCTTGCCGGGTGGGTGCAGGCCCCACATGGCTCGCAGCCCGTTCCCTCCCTTCATCCCAGATTTTCCCACCCCAAGAATGTTTCTTGGTAGGAATGTGGTTTTGTTTTATTCTTTGTGTGTCTGGGAAATGTAAATAAAGTTGACCATTTTTGTCCATATAAGTGTAGAATTGAACTCGCCCTGTGTATGGAAGGGATGATTATCCCTTCCATCCTGTTCAGAACGGTTTTCTCATCCCTAAGTGAAACGGGGCCCATTGACTGACTCCCCACGTCCCCTTGGCAGCCCTGGAAGGAGGGGAAGAAGGTGACCGCGTGAGCAGTGTTGGGGCTCCCCAGCCAGTGCTCAGGAGACACAGGCCGCTCCTGGTTGTTCTCAGCCAGCTGGACTATGGCTTGGTGCGGGGCTGTGGAGTTTAGGGTAACTGCTGGATTTCACGGAAGTCCAGATTAGCCCTGGCAGGGGGCCGGGAATTAGGTCCCCTGACGGCCACCAGTCACCACTGGGGAGCTGGGGCCTGGGGCACTTTGCTGCTCCAGGACCAGGCGGAAGCAGGGTCAGGCCCTGCCTGTCCTGTCCCTAGCTGGCATGGCACTAGCAGCACTCGAGAGGAAGGTGGCGTGGGCTCGCGGCTTCAGCCCTGCCTGTCCGGGAAGCTGCCGACTGGCAAGGGGTACGGCCCCACTCACGCCCGGCTTCCCTTCACAGCTCTCTGGGGCCAAGCGCCTTGGCCACTCTCGGGCCTGTGGCACCGGTCAAGCGGAAAGAGTCTTCCCAGAGTTCGGCCCTGTCCAAGGAGAAAAAGAAGAAGAAGTCCGCGCTCGACGAAATCATGGAGGTAGGGAATGCGCCCGTGCCAGGGAAGGGAGCCCAGCCCAGTTCCCGGCAGAGTCCCCCTGCAGGGCCAGTTTCTCACTGGGGTGCCCCCTCAAGGTGCCCTGGAGCTGCATGCAGCCAGCGAGTTCAGTTCAGGGGCATCAGTGGTGGTGACACTAGAGGGGAAGGAAGAGAAGTTGGTGCTGTCTGGTGGGCACTGCCAGAGCCGGCTTGTCCCCTTTGCCTTTGGGAGGGAGCAGCAGATGGTCCCAGGCCTGTCTCGGTGACTGTAGGTGGGGCTGCTCCTCAACCAGTGCTGGCCCGGGCAGTAGGGGGAGCAGCCGTGTGCCAGGAGTTGTTCCGGTGTAGTCACATGAACAAGTGGCAAGCCCGGAGTGCACGGGGGTCTCAGCACAGGGACGGCGCTGTCCATTGGCTGTAGCACTGAGGCAGATGGGCTGGCAAAGGGGGAATGAGCCACAGGCCAGAGCAATGGTGGGGGGAGTTTTGGGGGTGAGAGGTTGGCCAGACCGGCCATCCAGGTTCTGAGTTTATTGCCTTGAATGAAACACGCTGAAGTTAGGGTTCTGTCCCTCTGAGGAGGCTGGCAGGACTGGGAGAGGCTCACTGTAGGGGCCCATTGATGCCAGTTTTGAGGGCCAGCCCAGGTTTTATCCCAGCACCCGAAACCCAGGTGACCCCAGCAGCGCCATGCCCTCAGGTATCTGCCGTGAACCGAGTGCCTGTGGGTGAGACTGGCCAGGGTGGCCTGGGCCCCGAGCAGCTCTTGGCCAGCTGTGGACCAACTCTATTTCCTGGTCCTACTGGTCATTCATTTTCCACCACAGGTGACTTGCTTTGTTGCATAGTTGTTATAATCTAAGTTTCTTTTTACATTGAGAACCTAATTGCAAAAAAAATGTTTACTTGTATTTATCAGAACTTGCGTATTTGATCCTGGGTCTTCTGACGTGTGTGTTTTCTGAGATGGCATTTGAAATTGAGAACCATAAAGGGACCCGTTTCTGATGTTGTCTTGGATCTCCTGCAGATTGAAGAGGAGAAGAAGAGGACTTCGCGGACAGACTACTGGCTGCAGCCGGTACATACCCGTGGGTGCTGTGTGGGTGCGGGGGGCATGAGCTGCACCTCATGGTGCTCTGGCCATTACGCGCTCGCTCCTGGCAGGTGAGGCGGTGCGGGGGGAGCAGATCAGGGTTGGCATGTACCAGCCAGCGTCCACGCACTGTGCTCTCTGTCCGGCTGCAAGGCCATTGGTTTTAAGAGAAATGAAAAGTCAAAACAGCTGACCCTTTCTGCCTGCAGTTGTTCCAGCCCTGCTCTCCCTGATGGTGATGCTGTCAGTTTGTCCATCACGTTGTTTCTCGGGGCTCAGGCCTCAGCCTCAACGCAGCGCTGCTGAGCATCTCTGGAGTGGAAATGGCAGCAAGCCGCAGGGATTGAGGCACCCTCTTCTAGACTGAGGGGGTGTCCTGAGCAGGCTCAAGGGGCAGTGAGAGCCCCATGAGACCCTGAAATGGTCTGCCTAGAAGTACTACCGCTGTGTCAGAGCAGGCAGTGCTCCCGCTGTGTCAGACTAGGCGGGGGTCGCTCCTGACCATGCAGTGCAGTGAAGGAGACCTGGGCTCCGGCTGCCAGAGTTTGCACACTGCCCCCTGAGCTGTCTCCTCATCTTCAAACCCTCTCAGTGTGTTTTCCTGCCATCAGATCTCCCTCCCTCAAACTCCACAAACTATATATTTCCCTAATATAGTTTCTGCATGGCTCAGTTAGTCACGGGCGCAGGCTCTTCATGACCTATAGCTGAGTTAGCCTTTTAATTTTCATTATTAGCCTCAGGCTTCTGCTCACAGTCAGAGCAGCATGGGAGAGTTGCAGGCTCAGTGCGTTTGTGGAAAGGAGGCTTCCCTCCTGTCAGACAGATGCCCAGAGCAGTGGTGCTTCTAACTGGGCCAATCGGGAGAAATCCCATCTGATTTGAAACTTCAAAGCTGCATGGCAGGAAGGAATGCTTGTAGAATAGTAAGGCTAAATCCCTGAGGAGCTGGGCCCTTGGCCCTCCCCACTTCCAGGAGCTGCAGATCTGGCTGTGAGCAATGTGGAGTCACCTGGCTGAGGTCCAGATGAAAGCCCTTGGTTGCAGGAATCCTTTGCTGTGGAAGTAGCCGTTAACCCCTGATTGCTAATCAGTTTTGAATAAGAAGAGAGGGAAAAAGAGATTGCTAAGGAAGTACTTGGTCACTACAAAGCTTAGAACTCCCAGATTTCCTCTCTTTAAAGGAGCTGGTACATTTATGTTACAGGGATTCTTGGTAAACTTGACTTAAAATGAAAAAGATGATTTATGCTTGTTCTCTTTCTGTTTTGTTTTTAGGAAATTGTCGTGAAAATTATGACCAAAAAGCTTGGTGATAAATATCACAAGAAAAAGGGTGTTGTGAAGGTGAGGGCAGGTGGGTGGCCCTGGAGGGAGGGAAGGCCGGGCTCAGCTCCTCAGGGCCAGGTCAGGTGACAGGGGAAGCCTCATCCTCTCCCTGCAGTCCCTGCTTCCGTCCTCTCTCCCACAGGCCCGTAGTGTTGCTAGGAGTCGCATCCTCTGGGCCGAGAGGGGGTGTGGTGGCCTGAGTGCTGGTTTGCCTGCAGGGGTCCTGGGTCCAATCCCAGCCAGGCAGGGCCCACCGGGTGTGGTCCACACACCAACAAATAAAAATCGATAAATCAAATTGGAAATCCGCCCCTGTCCTCTTCTCTCTTTGCCACGAGTGTCCCTTCCGCACCAGCCGCATGCATGTTCCGTACAGCTGCGCCCAGGAATGAGTCCAGCCCGCCCTCACGCTGTGTCACTCCATCTTACTTGGACCCCCAGCTTGTCTGCTTTCCACAGGGGACCCTCACTAGAGTTTGAACTGAATGCTCTCCGGGTCAGAGCAGGGAGCCCGGGTTTCAGCACCATTCCCGAGCACTGCCAGGGCTGACCAGAGCCAGCCAACTAAAAGCCTTAGAGACCGGAAGACAGCATCTGGTCCTTGGGGATCCCGGCTCTTAGTGGCTGTCAGCTGTGCATGCAGCTGGCTGACCTTTGTTGTCCTTTTGTCCTTTGCTCACCGCTCTCCTGTCTGGACGGTTCGGTCTCGTGGCAGGAAGTTATTGACCGGTACACGGCTGTGGTGAAGATGATGGACTCCGGAGACAAGCTGAAACTGGACCAGACGCACCTGGAAACCGTCATTCCTGCCCCAGGTACAGCGGGCGCAGAGTGTACCCCATGTGCACTGGATACTTGCCGATCTCAAGAGCTGGCAACTCTCAGAGGATTTGGCTTTTATTCTTTTGCTGTAGCAAGATTAAAAACAAAGTACACGTTTTCTTTGCCCTCACTGTTTTTTCTCTTCGTAGGGAAGAGAATCCTGGTTTTGAACGGTGGCTACAGAGGGAATGAAGGCACTCTGGAATCCATCAATGAGAAGACGTTTTCAGCTACCATCGTCATCGAAACGGTGAGATCCCACTGCAAATAGCAAAATGCACCAGACAGCTTTTTTGCTGGATCGTTCTTTGGATTGAATGCTGTCGATCCTGGTGTACTTTCTGATTGTGGAAGAAGCGTATTGAGCTCAGTCTGGGCTGGAGACTGGTAGGGGACCCCTGGACCCCTGCTCGCGGGTGCCCAGTCCCGGTCTCTGGCCTCTGAGGACTGCTTCATGCACGCTCAGGGTGACGGGAGGAACAGGGATCTTCAGGAGCTCGCTCTTCCTGAAGGCATTGTCTCTTGGCCCTAGCCCCGAGGTCAGGTACAGCAGAGGGAGATCGGGAGGAAGCACTGATCATCCCGCCCACATAGTTGCCAGCCTCCCGCCAGATGACTGCCTCCAGCAGCTCTAGTCCCTTTAGTTCATAAAACTATATAGGACATGTCCAGCTCGACATCCTGGCTCTCCCCCTCACGCCTAATTGTGAACTCTCTCGGCCTGGCATAACTCAGGTGGCTTGTTTGTGGAGGAGCCGCAGAAGTCAGGGCTGTGTGAAGGTGTGCCTGCACAAAGGCTGGGGTAACACCATGCGTGCTCCGGCCTTCTCACTGGGTTTTGGTTGTTTGTTTCTTGTACTTGGGTCTTGGCCCGCAGTGCTTGGGGCTTACTCCTGGCTCTGTTTCGGGGATCACTCCTAGGGCTTGGGGGACCGTATGGGGTGCCTGGGATCCAGCCAGGTCAGCTGTATGTCAGGTGAGCTCCTCCCCAGTATCAGTAGAGTTGGGGTGGAGATGGGGTGGGGTGCGGGGGCCAAATCGTTGGTTTCCCAAAGGCACATTTCCAGGGGAGCTGAGTATTGTGTTTCCGGGAATAAGTTCAGAGCCTCTGCTCGGAATTCACAGACCAAGTATTGGCCCCTTGGGTACTTTCAGGGCATGCAAGAGGAGGATTTGTAGCCTTAAATGTGGTATCCTTTTCTTACCTTTGAAGACATGTATGTTTTAACCTTTTCTTAAAATATTCTCGTTTCTAGGGCCCTTTAAAAGGACGCAGAGTTGAAGGAATTCAGTATGAAGATATTTCTAAACTTGCCTAAGTTTGAAAATTTGTTAACAACACATTAAAATCCTAAAGCATCAAATTGGTGTTCGCCGAGGCATTTAGACTCTACTGTGTTAGGGTGTTTCTTCTGTATAAAGCAAATGAATTTATTTAAATCAAACTGTATAGTTGTTTAGCTAAGCTAGCAAAATGTCTTAATTATGTTACAAGTATCCAGATGTGTTATTTTGTCCTCATTATTTTTTTTGTTCTGTAATATTGATGATTTTTTTTTATCTTCATTAAAAGAATGTTATTGTAAAGTTTTACATAAGACGTTTTGGAGTAGAAAATTAGAGGGAATTCTCCATATACTCAAAATTTATACTTCCCGTTGTCAAGTTGTATTGAAAATGAATATTTATATTTTGAAAATACATGAAGGTCTTTCTAAACTTGCCAAAGTTTGAAAATTTTTCAGCAGCACATTAAAATCCTAAAGCATCAGCGATGCTTGCCGAGGCATGATGGTACAGCTGTGCTGGGCTGGTGCCACTGTGCTTGGTGGAAAAGCCTGTTGAGATTGTGTCCTTGCCCCGGTCCCCATTAAGAACGGACAGCTCCATGGTTCCCTCTCTGTCTGTCCCCTTCCCTGCCTGCGCTGCCCTTGGGCTCTATAGGTTTTCCTGAACATCTCCCCGAGGGAATCCCATGAACTGGCTGCCGGCTACTTCGATGGACTTTTTCATGTAGAACAGCGGCCCCCAGGGAGTCACCGCCCCAGACCAGCACAGAGGTTTCCGGCCTGCCCACCCCTGCAGCTGACCCTCCACAGAACCGTGAGCCCTGTGCTTTGGAGCCCCCCGTCCCACCAAGCCACTGTTGTTCCTGCCAGCAGTGCTCAACCCCTGACAGCTGAGGGCCGTGTTTGTTTGCACTCATGGGCTCTGGAACCCTAGTGCTTTGGCCTCTGGTGTCTAAGGTTCTGTGGAACCACACTCTTCATGCTGTGTTCAGTACAACCCAGGCTGGTCTGTGCTTTCTGTCACACTTTCAGTCAGAGGGGCTGGCACCAGGGTCTGCTGCCTCAAGCAATGAATAGCATCATATTCTAGGGTGCAGAAGACAGGGAACCCACCTCCGGTTTCCCCCTTGCAAAACATAAAGGAAGGGTGTGGTTGGCTTATCAGCATGGGAGCAGAGCTGGTTCCCGAGCAGTGGGAATCAGAGTAGACACTAATGAGGGCCAGCACTCGGCATCTGGGCCTCTGTCACTACATTCTCAGGCCAGCGCTCAGCTTCTCAGCCACTGTCACTGTGTTCCCAGGCTTTTCACAACAGTGACAGCCACTAGCCCTCCATCTTCTAGTTTGGTGCAGCCAAACACCTGGAATTGAGACTTGGGCCACACCTGGGCATGGTTCGCCAGAGAAAGGGATCAGAATGTCACTGTGTCTGGAGAGAGGAGAGTGAGAAGTGGGTACAGACCGGACATGTATGTCATGTGGGGATTGGCGATGGTCAGTGAACTAGGGATCAAATGGAGTGAAAGCCCAGCTTAGAGAAATGAATTTGGAGCAACTAATCAAAATCCCCGATATCCCCTGGCCTCATACTGATAACAGTATCTGCCTCAGTTCCCATTTGGGACCACAGGGTCAGAACATGGACCAGCCTTGATTGGGAGTCAGTAGATTGGCCAAAGGAGTCCCAGAAATGTCGGCTAATACTGTCAAAGGAAGGGGAATCTTACTCTTTCAAAAGAAGGAAGCACCTTGATTAATCTGTTCCCTATGGCTAGTTAAGGGGGAAAAAACACCAATAGAGAGCCAGTGTGGAAATGTATTTTAAAAAATGCTACCAGTAAAGTCTTGTAAAAGGAATTTAAAACAGGAAATTGAAGCACAGGCAGAGGCTAGCCCACTAGGCCAAGGGCTTGCTTTACAAAAGGGAGGTCCATCCAGGTCACATGTCAGCACTGCAGAGTCTGACTCCAAAGCCAGACAGAGTTAGGAGGGGGGTTGTGGTGCTTGCTGAGGAGCGTTACCATGAGACCTGGGTCAGGTGGGCAGAAGAGCTGCTGCGGGCGGCCTCGCCTAAGACCTGGTGTTGTGAGGTACTAAGACAACCAGTACCTGGTTCAGGTTCATTTTAAATATGCATCAAGACTTTGGACCTCCCCCAGCAGTGCTCAGGGCTTGTTCCTAGCTCTGTGCTCAGCAAACTTGGTGTTGTGGGGGACCGTGCATGGTGCCAGGGATGAAGGCCAGGTCAAGCCCATGCAAGGCAAGCAGCGTAAGCTGTTCACTCTCAGCCTCTAACCCAAACCCTGAACCCACACCCCCACACACTTCTTTCGTATTTTTTTCTTACGGTCGCCAATTTTTCAACTCAAAACTGGTTTAATTTTCAATCATTTGAAAACACGAACTTCAATAATTTAACAACCCTGAACTCTGTCAATAGTCTGGTTTTTCTCAAATGTAGAGCCTATTATCTGACAAGATAATACATGTACTTCTTAAAATTAATGACAGCTGTTTAGACTGATACTTAGAGAAAGATTTGAAGATAGGGCACACAAATTCTAAAGATTAGCTCAACAGGTTTCTAGCTCTGTCATAGCCCAGCTGAGAGTTCATGAAACCCACTGCCATGTGTCAAATTAAAAATAATTACTAGTGACTTGCAAGTTACTCCAAAGAATAAGGAAAATATAGGTTAATTGTCAAGTTGTTTTCCTTCATCCCTGCACATAAGGCTTTCCAGAACTAATCAAGGGGGGAAATTGTTCCCTTCTAACCATTCCCATTCATTTTGTTCCTTCATTTGAAATTAAAAATCAGCAATTCATTTGAAATGAAAAATTATAGACATGAGACATATTTTTGGTCTTGTGACATACATGAACAGTTAATAGTATTTTTACTGGCGATGAATTTTAAAATATCAGCTGTCCAAAGTTTGACAATTGAAATAGTGATTTTTATTTTAAATCTAGTTTCTTTGGATAGGACTCGTTCAAATCTTGCTTGTAACCCTGACTCCAAGGTGGTCATCATTTTCAGAACTGCAGAACATAGAAAATGCAGGCGCAAAGTAAGCTCGGGTGCCTAAGGTAATTGTTTCGTAGTCAAAATTCTTAGAAGAAACCCTTGCCAGCGGCCACTTTTGAGGTTGGTGTTTTGAGGTTGGAGTAAGAGCACAACAGAGCGTAGTATTATATTTGGGCGGGGATTGGGCCATTTGGGGTGTGTGTGTGTGTGTGTGTGTGTGTGTGTGTGTGTGTGTGTGAGCATGTGGGCATGTGTATATATGTGTGTATGTGTGTATGTGGGTATGCATAAATGTGTGTATATGTATGTACATATTTGTATGTGATTATGTATGAGTGTAAATGTGTGTATATGTGTTAGTATACGTGTGTATATGTGTGTATATATGAGTATATATGTGCATGTATATTGTGAGTGTGTATGTGTTATATGTGTAATAAGTGTATGTATGTGTATATATGTGTGTATGTGTGAGTATGTATATGTATGTGCATATGTGTGTATATTTGTGTATGTGTGTGTATGTTTCTGGAGCTGGGGAACCTGCATGGCCCCATTAGCTCTTAGAATGGTGGTGTGCATCTGTGCAGGGGAGGGGGACACATGTCCATCACGTCTGTGTGTATGCTGGACTTTCAGGGTCTCTGGAGGAAGCTGTAGAGACGAGGCACGAAGTAGTCCTTGTACTGGCCATCGATGAAGCCTTTGCCACTGTTGTGCACGAACCAGCAGGGCACATCTGTGCCCAGCACCACGTCTGTGCGGTAGTCCTTCTGCCAGCCCCTGCAGGAAAAGCAGCGGGTCAGGGCTCGGCCCCCCCTTCCCCACACACAGTCTGGCCCAGACCTTGGGGGTGTGAGACCCCCAATTCACCTGTTCTCTAGGGTTCAGCAACACTGTGCCCATTAGCCTCACACCTCAGACCCATATGACTAGAAGCAAGGACCCCCCCTCACTTCTCTGAGCTTCTTGGGAGCCCAGGGGTCCCTAACAAAGCAGCCCCAGGTGAGTGACTCGGGGTGCTCACTCCAAGGCCATTTGGGGCGTGGCGGTTTGTCATTATCACTGTGTGGTTTAGTGACTGAAGTTGGTGGAAGCCAATGGCATTTGCATGCAAAGAGCCACTTCTTTTTGGGGGGGTGGGTCATGGGCCGCACCTGGCAGTGCTCGGGGTTTATTCCCTAGCAGGCCTTGGGGACCATACGGGATTGTGGGGATTGAACCCAGGCCAGCTGCATGCCAGGTAGGTGCCCTGCCCTCTGTGCTTTGGCTCTAGCCCCAACAAGGTGTTTTAAGGACAAACTCAGCTGCTTCATGAAAACTGGAGAATGACTCCACACGCTCTAAAATTGTCCCAAATTAGGCACAGGTGAGTCGGCTGTAAAAGATGGGGACTGAGGGGACAGAGGGTGGGTGGCTCACCAACCAGGATTCAATCCGTGGCATCCAGTATGGTGCCCTAAGCACTTCAGGAGTGATTCCTGAGTGTGGAGTCAGGAATAATCCCTGAGTATCGTTGGGTGTGGCCCCCAAACAAACAGAAAAATACCAAAAAGTGATGGGGACTGTGTGGAAGGAAGGGAGAATTCCATGAGACTGCTGGGTTCCTGAGTCCTTGGTTAGAGATAGAAGTGGGCTGCAGTTGATGTAAGAGTCGCCCCACAGTCCTGTGGCAGATGTGCCTGGCACAGGAAGGAAGACGCTCCTTCTCTGGCACGGACTCTGTGTGGTGCTCCCCACCCCAGCTCTGGCGTGTGAGCAGTGAGGCTGAGGGCAGAGCGTGCCCTTCTGCAGTGTCACTGTCGATTTATGGTGCCCTTGGGCCTGTTTGGTGGACTGTGGGGTGACACAGCTGACGCCTACCCTAGTATACCCCTCGCTGTGCTGCTCGGGTCCCTTCTAACAGGCATTGCCCCCACAGCTGTGGGCCCGAGACATACCTGGTGACACTCAGCTTGTGCCCCTTCACCTCCATGCTGGCCTCTGGCTTGGCCGGGTCCTTCCCGGGTCGTTCATTGAAGATTCGGATGGCAGGCTCCCGCATGAACTGGCCTGGTGGGCAGAGCTGCTGATCAGTGGCTGCCACCAGGCTCCTGGGCAGTGAGTGGCCCCTGTCCTGGTGTCCTTTGCTCCTCCCTCAGAACTCCCATGTGAAGAGACAGCAAAGAGATGTGTGTTTGTATGTATATGTATGTGTGTATACATGTGTATGTGAGTGTATGTATATGTGTGAGTATGAATAAATGTGTGTATATGTGCATATGTGTGAGTGTGTATATATGTGTGAGTGTATACATGTGTGTGAGTGTATACATGTGAATGTATGTGTATGTATGTGAGTGTGTGAGTGTATATGTGTATATTT